ATTTTTTTTATGAACGTCATTTTATGAACATTCAATAAATCATATTACAAAATTTAATTTAAACACTGTAAATAATTTAAAATTTAAAGTTTATAATTCAATTTAAAACACTGTAATTGATATTTTTTACATAATATTTATTAATAAATATTTGTTATTGGTGGTTGTTTGTGTTTCTTTTTCACATGTTTATTGTCAATTTAAAATCTAAAAAATAAATAAATAAATAATTAAAAAAAATTATGTAAAAATTATTTCCATTACACGACATCTACACTCGTGTAATGGAAATCATTTTTTTTTTACATAATATTTATTCAAATAAATGGGTGTTCCAGTATGCCTGCATTTAGGATATATATATATATATATATATATATATATATATATATATATATATATATATATATATATATATATATATATAAAGAGTTCAGATGCAAAAGCCTCTAAATGCCATTTGAAATTTTCTTCTTTAATGATGATTTTTATCAAACTTGTATATTTAAGTTCGGTAATTTCACTTAAATGGCAATGATAATTACCTATTAATTGTTATTTAAGTGAAATTACTGAACTTAAATATACAAGTTTGATAAAAATCATCATTAAAGAAGAAAATTTCAAACGGCATTTAGAGGCTTTTGCATCTGAACTCTTCATATATACTATATATAAATAATTAGCCTACTTTTTTTTTTTCAGCATTGGCCAATAAGTTATATAAGCATGACTTTTATTTTGACAGTGCAGATAACTTTGTGCCTAAATGCAGTGTTGTTAATTAATCCTCTCCTGTGGCCTCATAGGATAAAGTGAAGTAAAGTGTCCATTGAATGCTCACTAGAGTCTCGTGGAAGTAGTAGTCATCCGGGGGCTTTTAACCGACTGTTTTATGAATACTATACATTCAGACGTAGGCTACTACTTTTTTCGCTGCGCTGTTTCTTGCATGCTATGTAAGTAGGATGTGTTCGGTTTCAGACACAGCCAATGGTTGTAGACCTGAAAAAGAAAGCTGGTTGTAAAATAATTAATATTCTAATATCTGTTATGTCTAACCCCTCACAATCACAAGCAAATTTATCAGCTGATGATGTTGATCGCAAAATGGGAATGATATTTAGCATTTTATTTTGTGTTTATTTTTTGAGAAGGAACTGCCTCTCTTTCCTCCTCAAAGCAAACGCCTCTGGTAGATATAGATGGAGCTGTAGATTGCAGACACATGTATCAAGTTGCAGAGAGTTCTGGGTAATTGCATATACATTTGTAGTTTTCTCAAACATAAATCTCCGCTATTCTGAACTGTTATGAATGTTTCCCACACAGAAGGGAAATATTGTATGCTTCAAAACAGTTCCTCTGCATTACGAAATTAGATTACGCTACTGTATAGAGTTTCTGAATTTGTTTTGATTGCTCCTAGTTCTTCTCTAATCTTGCTCTTATTGTATTTTAATAGTTTACAAGACATTGATTTCCCCAAATTCATATTTGGGCACTAAAAGAGGACCTATTATGCTTTTAGTTTTAACATGTTCTTCTTTCTTTAGTGTGTAATGTTGCTGTATGAGCATGAAAAAGCTCCAGTTCTTCTCTAAATGAGTGTCAGTGTTTCTGAAAAACCTCCATTGCGTTTCTCCCGGGAACGAACACGTCACAATATATTCCTCATTATAATAATTCATACGCAGAATAAAGGGGCGGGGCCTGGTTGAGTTAGTTAGTTAGTAGTGTGTTAAACTGGCACTTTTGGAAAGGGGCGGGACATTTCCCAAACACACTCGAAGCGCTCGACCAATCACAACACACTGCTCCAGCTGACCAATCAGAGCACAGTGTGCTTTTCAGAAGGAGGGGACAGGAAGTAAACGGAGCGTTACTGACCGATTGGGAAGAGAGGAGCCGCAACAATGGAGAATATGAGGAATAAAACGGAAAAGAAAAATGCTTAGTGAGCATTCAAGCATGAAAACCTTTATGCGGTAAAGCCATCCACCCAAAAAAAAAAAAAAAAAAAATTAAAGCTGCAAGCGGCATTTAGCGGTGTTCAAGCAGTTCAGGCCTTTAAAGGGTCATGAAACCCCAAACCAAATTTTCTGAGATTATAACAGAGGTATGTGTGTTGAAAACAATTGAAGACAATGTTAGCATCTGTTAGATTTAATAATAAGGTTAAAATGGTTAAATTTGAGGTCTTCCGGGTTTAAAATCTTCATTGTAGCGGGTGACGTGGCAGTGCAACTGCACTGTGCGTTGATGACTCATCGGTGTTATCCTATGAGAAGACACGGCCTCTTAATTATTCATGACACCACGTGGATCTTTCCAACGACAGACATGACAAACTGTGATATCGCGTATAACGTTAGATGAGAGAGGAAATCATGGGACGCAAACTATTTGTTTTCATGGTGCAAAGTCCAAGTGCGTTGAATATGTTCCCCGCGATGCTGCCAGGGCTACATAGACATATACACTAGACCTCACCTTGGGGTTCTAAGCATGCGTCAAAACCGCCGCCATCTTGGAACAGGGGTCTTGTCATAGGAAGTAGCTAGGTAACGCTGCTATCTCTGCCTTTACTTCGAATTCATTGATGGTGGCGGACTTTTGTGTAGCGTATGATGTTCACAGATGAAATCTGAACTAGGAAGAATGTTTTAAAAAAAAAAATTGTAAAATGTAAATTTTTCTTTCTGGAATCAATGATAAATACATGTCTGACCGTTGGAACAAACCAAAAAAAAAAACCAAGAAAAATCGCATTCATGATGATTTATGGTGATTTTATTTCCGTTAGACCTGTGTCTACTACATTGACGCTGATGCATTAAAGTCCCCGTGAACCGGAAGTTGCAAATGATTTTTCTCCAGCGCTGTGACGTATTTCCAAGTGAAACGGAATATTGAACAGAGGGCAGGGTTTTACTCTAGCGCTCCTCCTCTCCATCTCTCGCTCATAGCAAACTAACGGTTTGAGGGGAGTGGTAAAGCGTTTCCCCACCCAAGCTGTGAAACCTACGTCATCAGAAAAAGAAACCGGTCCAGACCGGAAGTAACTTTTCAGATTTTGATTAAAGATTACCAAGGTAAAACATTTTTTTAATATATATTCACTTGCACGGATTAATTGTTCACCACAAGACTAGTAATATGCGCTAACAAAGTAAATAGGTTCAATTTTGATTTCACGGGGACTTTAAAGTGGAGGGGCTCCCCTGTTTCAAGATGGCGGCTCTATTGACGCATTCGTTCTAATGAACTGCCGTATGCAAGGTGAGGTCTAGTGTATATGTCTATGCCAGGGCTAGACTCTGGCTCTGGACGGTTGGTTTGCCATCAAACACGGACACGTCTAAACCTGATCCAAACTATAGTGTGTGCCGCGAACATTTTCGCGAGAGAGCTGCGAGAAGTGGAGAATGATGGACTTCGCCTTGTTGACAACTAATCCAAGTTGCGTCTTGCGAGTGATGCGGTATCCCGAGGACTTTCTATCCCTTCAGAGGTGTGTGTGTGTAAAATGAGAAGTCATTTATTATGAGAGTTCAGAGGGGAAAGTAGACTATGCACTTTCTTTTACTGTCTATGACTATGCACGGAACGATTTTTTTTTAAGCGGAAAATTAATAATTTTTTTCTGAATTGTATTTATAGTGTCTATATAAACCACTATATATTTTATAATGACATTATAAATATACATGTAGCCTACATTAATATGTTTTGATTAGAATTACGATTACTGTAGGCTAATATTTGTAGTAGGACATTCAGTTACTTTTGAAAGGACAATAATAAAGTGTCAGTGTACTTCATAAGACTTTAACTTTGCCAGCTATATAAAAATCTAGCATTTCCTCACGTTTTACCATTGCTTTTTAGTGACAGTCGAAATGCATGGGACAGTGATGGTCATACAACACCCACTCCCTCCCCATTTCAGTTGCATTTTTCAAAAAGATTTCGAGCTAGACTTGAGCTGAAAGAGGGGGGTTTCATGACCCTTTAAGCACAAAAGCATCAAAATACATAAAGTTTTATGTAGCAAGCATTTAACCACTGAGATCATAGATGGAATAGAACATGATTTACCATGATATACGATCTAGGAGTTATGAGCAGTTTAGTACTTTTGGTTGCTGTAGCGCCACCTATGGGCCAATCGGGCTCATACTCTGATAGCTTCTCCTCAATTTGAGGCCCTACCATCTGGCTGAGTTTCAAGTCTCTAGGCCTTACAGTTTGGGCTGCATGATGTGTTTTAGGGGATTTTTATTTTTTTTTTCCTCTAGCAAATACAATAGGTTTTCAGCACTTCGTGCTTGAACACCTAATAACAATGAGACCTTTTAGACGATTATAGCGCCACCTATGGTCCGATCCTCATGAAACTTTGCATGCTTTCTAGCCATGTTAGAACACATATGCTCATTAATTTTTGTGAAGTTCTTGCTTTTTCCTTTGGGATTTATTGGCTTTTGGCTGTATTTTGCCAGGGACCACATTCTAAATGACCCTGTTGTAGCCAACCAAATGCAAAATTTCTACTTTTTGTTGAAAATTATTGATCTAGACAGTCCAGAGAATAGGCCTAGACTGGTTTGGTTCCGATCTGGCGAAAAACCAGGGACTAGTTCGCAAAAGTAGGTTTTGGACATAATTTAACATAACTTTTATTTTTTTGTCCCTAAATCCAAATCGGAAATATACATCTTGTCCGTCTTGAGCCACGGATTACTGTGGTGTAAAAACTCGAGGCTAAGTCAAACGGTCTAGGAGTTACGAGCAATTTAGTACTTTTGGTTGCTGTAGTGCCACCTATGGGCCAATCGGGCTCATACTCTGATAGTTTCAACTCTCTAGGCCTTACGGTTTGGGCTGCACGATGCGTTTTAGGGGATTTCTTGCAAATTCACTTTGTGCTTGAACACCTAATCAAGCATATTTGGTCCCTTTTTTTAAATGCCGCCTCTTGTTTCTTTTCCCCACAGTTTCCTTTGCTCTTGCTGAGCAGTCGTGGAGTCATGAGTTGTCAGGAGGTTCCTAACCCCAGCCAGGAGCCGAAGGACACAGCGGTGGTCCCGACTGAGGCAGGAGCCACGCAAGCGGTCCCGACAACCTCCCCGAAGCTTCCCTCGGTCTCCGTGAAGACCGAGGTGGCGTCCACCGCCGAGTCTGTGGCCAGTAACGGCAAAGCGAGTGACGGGAACATACCGGCTGAGATCTGTGTGGTTTTGGGGAGCTCTCGTAACTCGCAAACACAAGGTATGAAATAGTTTTTAGTCATGAGACATTCTACAAATGGGTGCCATGTGTATCCCTCATACACACACTGACACTGCTTGTCAAAAGTTTGGAATTAAGTCATTATATTTTACAATACAAAACTGTATTTATATCAGTACATGCAACCTTGGTGAGCAGAAGAGACTTCTTTCAAAAACCTTAAAACAAACTAACTTTTGACCAGTAGTGTTGGTGTAAATATGACTATCAGTGAAAAGGTTATGCAAACTTGAAGTCTCCACCTGCTTTATTACTTTATATGTTTGTGATTGATTGATTGATTGATTGACAGATTTTTTTTTTTGTGGTGAAAATGTGGTGTTTTTAATATGCTTCAAGACAAACCTTCCTTCGGATGAGACGTTAAAGGAGTTGTTCACTTTTAACCCTAAAACCGTATTCTGGACAAATGTGGGCAAAATAGTTTCGATTTATTTTAAAAAAAAAATACTTCCCTTGATCTGAGCGGTACAAGACTTGGCTACTTTTCCTAAGTTTGCCTCCTGAACACACACAATTTTTTTTACTCAATTCTACAACGTTAAGTGGGTGAAAATCTTGTAACTCCTTAATCTTGTATTTGGGTCAGAAATGGGCACCCATAGAAATGAATGGGAAAAACTGTGATTTAGAGCATTCTTAAATAAGCCAAAAAAAGACACCAGGTGACAGCAAAGTCACTTCATCTTTAGGTTTTAGCTCTAAGAACTTATTGGAATGATGTTTTAATGTAGTTAAAAAATAATTTACATAGAAAATATGGTACTTTTTGAAGTAAATAAATTCAAAAATACCCCCAAAATAAAAAAAACCCACCATAAATGGATAGACAAAACTTTATCAAAGACAGTGATATAATATTTATAATAAATAAAAATTAGGATCACACCCGAGTCCTCTGTGCCCACATTTGTCCACAATTACAGGATTTAGAGCTATTAAGTGAATACGGTTTTTGAGGGTTAAAAAAACTTTGCTGATAATTTACTCACCCCCATGTCATCCAAGATGTCCACGTCATTTTTTTCTTCAGTCTAAAAGAAATTAAGGTTTTTGATGAAAACTTTCCAGGATTTTTCTCCATATAATGGACTTCATTTAATAAATAAATAACAAAGTTTAAGTTTTATAAGCTCAAATGGTCGCCTTGCTCTGTTGTGACTGTGAGATGCGCATTCGTGACTCTCCTGTTCAAACTCGTTCATCAAAATGAACGAATCTTTTTTCGAGTCATTTGGTTCATTCAACGAACGAAATGAACGAATTGACTCGCAAAAAGATTTGTTCATTTTGATGAACGAGTTTGAACAGGAGAGTAACACAGAAGGCGAGCATTTGAGCTTAATATAAAACTTCAACTTTGTCTTTTTCTTTTTAAATGAGCGATCGTTCCGCTTGATAAGACCCTTATCCATCGTCTGGATTCATTTAAAGCCCTTTGAACAGTTTGCACTGAAACTATCTTTTGGACCTTGAACTGTTTGGTTCCCATTGAAGTCCATCATATGGAGAAAATCCTGGAATGTTTTCATCAAAAACCTTAATTTCTTTTCGACTGAAGAAAGAATGACATGTTCATCTTGGATGACATGGGGGTGAGTAAATTATCAGCAAAAGTCTTTTTTTAAAGTGAACTACTCCTTTAAACCGAGGTCCTGACTCTCTGTGGTCATTAAAAATCCCATGGCACTTCTCATAAAGAGTATGGGTGTAACCACCTGGGTTACAAAGTCCCTCCACTGGCCTTTACCAATTATGGCCTCCTAATAATCCCCATCCATTCAATTGGCTCTATCACTGTCTCTCCTCTGGTGTGTGAGCGCACTGGCGGCGTTGGACTGTGGTGGTTGAGGAGAGACCCCGACATGATTGTAAAGCGCTTTGGGTGTACAGTAGAAGGCCTAATTCATTCATTTATTTAAACCATGTTTACATTCACAAGTCAACACCATTGCTGAGTATTTTCTCCTTAAAATTGCAGTGAACCAAAAACACGATTTAAAATGAGGCCATTATAACATTTTTTTAATGACAAATTAGAAAAATATCAAGAACAATATTCATGACACAGTATGGCTTCATTACAGCCAACGTCGAAACCAACCAGCTGACAGTTTAATGTAATGTTAACCCATAAAGCTAAGTGGTTTCTTAAGTTTGATCATTAATTTGCTATGTCATGTTTATGACAGGTTGTGTTGTCTTAGTAATGTCAAGTTGTCACTGACAGGTTATGATGTTTTGGTTTATGTCAAGGTGTCATAACAAAGACATCTCAAACAATGTCATATTTGCATTAAAATTGTCATAACTGAGCGAATGACACTTAATGACAGTTGTCACAAACATGCATAAAACATCATATTCATAATAAATGTCATGTCATGATTATGAAGGTGTCATGTCAGTCTTATGCACACCCCTTCAAGTAAAGTGTTACTAACATTTTTTAATGTCATTTTGGGGTACTTTCCTGTTATCCGGACCCCACCATATACCATTTAGGAACTATAGTCTTCCCTGATTGGTCTTAACCCCAGTGACGGGTAGGTTTAGGGGCGGGGTTAGGGGTAGGCAATCATCCCTGATTGGTTTTAACCCCAGTGACGGGTGGGTTTAGGGGCGGGGTTAAGGGTAGGCCACCGTGGGGTCCGGATCCCACTATATACCATTTAGGAACTATAGTCATCCCTGATTGGTCTTAACCCCAGTGACTGGTAGGTTTAGGGGCGGGGTTAGCGGTAGGCCATCATCCCTGATTGGTCTTAACCCCAGTGACGGTAGGTTTAGAGGCGGGGTTAGGGGTAGGCCATCATCCCTGATTGGTCTTAACCCCAGTGACGGTAGGTTTAGGGGCGGGGTTAGGGGTAGGTCATCATCCCTGATTGGTCTTAACCCCAGTGACGGTAGGTTTAGGGGCGGGGTTAGGGGTAGGTCATCATCCCTGATTGGTCTTAACCCCAGTGACGGGTAGGTTTAGGGGTGGGGTTAGGGGTAGGTCATCATCCCTGATTGGTCTTAACCCCAGTGACGGTAGGTTTAGGGGCGGGGTTAGGGGTAGGTCATCATCCCTGATTGGTCTTAACCCCAGTGATGGGTAGGTTTAGGGGTGGGGTTAGGGGTAGGTCATCATCCCTGATTGGTCTTAACCCCAGTGACGGTAGGTTTAGGGGCGGGGTTAGCGGTAGGCCATCATCCCTGATTGGTCTTAACCCCAGTGACGGTAGGTTTAGGGGCGGGGTTAGGGGTAGGTCATCATCCCTGATTGGTCTTAACCCCAGTGACGGGTAGGTTTAGGGGTGGGGTTAGGGGTAGGTCATCATCCCTGATTGGTCTTAACCCCAGTGACGGTAGGTTTAGGGGCGGGGTTAGGGGTAGGTCATCATCCCTGATTGGTCTTAACCCCAGTGACCGTAGGTTTAGGGGCGGGGTTAGGGGTAGGCCATTGTGGGGTCCGGATAACAGGGAAGTACCCTTCTTGGTGATCAAAGATGAGTTTTAAGAGATAAAATTATTGGCTACAGGGAAACTTTACGTTTTTTTTATTAAAGTGTCGTGAAGCACTACATTTTCTGAGATATTAACTTGTTTTCAGTGGCCATTTGCAAAACAGGAACACATTAAAAAATGCCAAATGGCCTCTAGTTATTTTATATAGAACTGAGAAGTGGATATTTGCAGAAATATCTGAATGAAATCTCTTTATTTCTCGCTACCTTGTAGGTGTAATTACACCTTACTAACACTTGAAACACATTTGTCTGAAATTTCCGTTTTTTTTTTCTCTCTCTCTTACAGGCTCTTATATCTGTGGAGTATGTGGCAAAAAGTACAAATACTACAACTGCTTTCAGACGCATGTGCGAGCTCACTCAGGTGCCGTCCTATTCTTGACCTTCTGAATCTGATTTAGGATAGTTGTTATTAGTTGGAATCATGAACTGATTCATTCTCACGTCTCTCTGTCATATGGATGGTTTCTCACAACAGCAAACATCTGACTCTTTTGAGCCGGTTAATAAAGTATTTTTCTTCCTCACACATGTTGTTTTGCTTCGGAAGACATTGATTCATCCACTGGGGTCATCGTCACAATCGCTTTGTGCATCCTAAAAACAATGCTGGGTTGTTTTAACCCAAATTTGGGTCAAATATGGACAAACCCAAATGTTGGGTTAAAAATGTAAATTCAAATTTTAACCCAACTTCAACTTTCACTTTCAACTGCAAATGTTTTAATTGCATTTTTAACCCAACATTTGGGTTTGTCCATATTTGACCCAAATTTGGGTTGAAACAACCCAGCAATTTTTAGAGTATGTAGTTCTTTTGAGCTTCGGCCATTCAATGGCATTATATTGGCTCAAAGAGATGCATTATTTTCCTAAAAATATCCATTTGTGTTTATCTGAAGAAAGAAAGTCGTATACATATACAGGGATGACATGAGGGTTAGGAAATGATGAGAGATTTTTCAATTTTGGGTGAAATATCCTATTAAAGGAAATATCCTATTAAAGGGATAGTTCACTTTGAAATTAATTTTTGATATGTTTTATCTTACCTCAAGGGCATCCAAGATGTGGGTGTCTTTGTTTCCACAGTAGTTTCAATTTTGATATTTTTAGTCATATAATGCAGGTCTATGGTCACCACCTCAAAGAGCATGCACAGAGAAGTCCAATTTAATGACTCGTAAATGTAAGTACACATTGATGGCCTAAGACATGAAACGAGCGGTTTGTGTGAGAAAACGCACATTATTTATATCGTTTTTACTTTTTGTAACCACAGCCACGTCCAAGTGATCTGAGGGCGTGGGCGCTTCGGTCTTCACAAGTGGCGGAAGTGATCTCTCGCGCGGTTGTGGAAAAAAAATCTACAACCTTGTCTGTTGATGTATCGAAATCGTCTTCCATCGCAAATTCCTGTATATCTAAATATGTTTATATCTTCACAGTGAAAGGTAAAACTTCCGAAGTCTGTGTAAACAATGAGTGATGTACACGCTCGAGAGATCACTTCCGGCGCTTGCGCAGACCGAAGCGCCCGCGCCCTCAGATCACTTGGACGTGGCTGTGGTTACAAAAAGTAAAAACGATATAAATAATGTGCGTTTTCTCACACAAACCGCTCGTTTCATGTCTTAGGTCATCAATGTGTACTTACATTTACGAGTAATTAAATCATGTTTAATCTGGACTTCTCTGTGCATGCTCTTTGAGGTGGTGACCATAGACCTCCATTATATGACTGACAGACAAGAACGGTTTGACCTAACAATATCAAAATTGAAAATACTGTGGAAACAAAGACACCTACATCTTGGATGCCCTTGAGGTAAGATAAAACATATCAAAAATTAATTTCAAAGTGAACTATACCTTTAACAGAAGCATGAATTTCTTTCAAAAACATCTGAATGTCTAATGGGAGTGTAGTTCGGATCAGTTATTGGGTGGTGAACGCTTCTTCAAAAGTACTGAAATGGAAAGGGATCATTAATGAACTGAAGTCTGAATCGCAACCAGAATCATAAAATTCGGTTTCTATATCTGTGGTTTTATTTAGAGGCCGAGGGTACGGCTTCAGGAGAAGGAGGAGCATCTCTGGGAATCAATAGTGAGTTGCACATTTTCTTATTCATGGGGCAGATTTTGGGGTAATTGTCCTGGACATTTCTAAATAAATTGGATAAAACTTTGTGAAAGAGAGAGTTCTGTCACACAATGATATCGAAAGTCTTTGTTTTTTTGTTTTTTTTCTAATCCAGGTTCTTTCCGTTATACGTGTGACGTGTGTGGGAAAAAATACAAGTACTACAGCTGTTTTCAGGAGCACCGAGACCTCCATGCTGTTGATGGTGAGCTGTGTGTTCCCTCTTTTCATTTGTAATATATATAGTTCTTGGTTTGCTATACTATGTCAGTAAGCACATGTTTAAAATGTCTCCGTATTCAATTGATCCATTTGGTTTTCACATTGTAAACCCTATTGAGAAATATCTGGTAAAAAAAGAAGACGAACAAGACTAGACACTTCGCTTTAATGAACTGATGAACGAAATTTAAATCGCTTAAAGGAGTAGTTCACCTCAAAATGAAACTTTGCTGATAATTTACTCACCCCAATGCCATCCAAGATGTCCACGTCTTTCTTTCTTCAGTGGAAAAGAAATTACGTTTTTTGAGGGAAACAACAACGGACTTCAACGCTAGCCAACTTATTGAAGTCCAAATCAATGCAGTTTCAAAGGGCTTTGACGAGCTTCAAAGGGTTGTGCACGATCCCAGATGAGGAACAGGGTCTTATCTAGTGAAACCATTGGTCATTTTTCAAAAAAAAAAAAATAAATATATATACTTTTTAACCACAGTTGTTCGTCTTGTGCTGGTCCGCGACGGATTGCGTGATCACGTTGCAAAGTACCGCCCACTGCTTTTTTTAAAAAAAATGTTAAAAATTTATTTATTTAGAAAATGACCGATGGTTTCACTAGATAAAGGCCTGTTCACACCGCGCGATATTCGCTGACGTTTAACGCCTTGTGACTAAATAAAGGGCGCCAATGTGAGTGTGCACACCGGCGCGAAAAACGCCACGCATAAAAGCGTCATTTTTCAAAAAACGACTCTGGTTCATTTTTTCCGTTTGACGCGCCGTGTCAAAAACTATCCGACCAATGCGATTGGTGCTTTTGATCACGTGTCTGGTGCTTCTAAAGTTACAGTAAAACACAACTTGTGTTACTACACTCAAACCAACCTGATCTCACGAGAATTCGTACGAATTTTACAAGGTGGCTAATTCGTAACAATTCGTACGACCTCACCATAGACTGTAAAAAAAGATGGACGACGCCCCTTCGCTCTTTTCTATCTGAGAGAACTGAAGCCGCCAGTGTCTCGATATGACGCGGACATCTTGGAACTTGAGTCTGCGCACTTGCGTGTTTCGGGACCAGTCATGCGCAGTCGTGAGCAGGAAGTAAAGCCGCAAAATCAAGGCCACGCCCTCATTCTCGCTGAATCAAACGCAAGCACACGCCCCGGACTTTCATTAAGTGTCCTCTGTCTGCTTCGTTCTTCTTCAATGATGTCTGCTGATTGCAGAACCTCGTTAAAATAAGGTTAATACAACTACTAACCACATAATCAACATTATTAAAAAAAGTCCGATGGTGCTTCAGTGACTTCCTCGCACAGAGAACCTGTCAATCATGATGTCAGAGCACCGTTTTTATCATCGCATAACTAACTAAAAACTTATTTTAAAAACGAACACTTGAAATTACATCAACATGACAGAAACTACAGTAAATGACTATCTTAACTATCTTTGGAAAAAGGATATGTGAAGTGTAATTTAATTGTTTAGTTGGTCTCGCGTCCCATTGAATAACATGGGGAGGCGGGGCTTATGAGCTATTCTAGGACCGGTCACAGGGGGGGCGATCGAGACGTTTTGGCTTCACTTTTGAGGGCTTGTGCGGCACGCTTGGACCTCACGCGTACGAATTAGTACGATTTTTGCGAAATCATACATATTTTACGAATTGGCCAATTCGTATGAATTCGTACGAATTACCTACCCCTGACCCCGCCCCTAAACCTACCCATCACGTCGGTTTGGACAAATCATACAAATTCGTCGTATGACTTAGTACGAATTAGCCACTTTTTAATCACTCGTACGAATTCGTACAAATTGGTCGTGAGATAGACAAAACGGTCTTTCTGAGCACACATACATAACGGCGAAGAAGATATACGCCACCGTCTACACTGCCGGAAGACGAGGAAGATGCAAGACAAGATATCTATGGGCAAGATGAATGTTGAGCTGCTGGTCTCGGAGCATAAAGGGCTATATGATAATATTTATATTAGTATTTCTGTAATAATAGTATAGTATAGGGTGACAGTCAGTCCGGTTTTCCCAGGACACGTGTAACGGTCACTTTGTGTTTTATAGAAATCTGAGTTTAGATTTGGACAAGCGAGGAGAGGAGATAACCGCTCTGCCGACTCTCTTTGTGTTCTGTCTTTTATTTCTTTTTTCTATTGTGACCAGATTTGGATGTTTGTTTGTGTATATAAATAGATTTTCCTAGTTCGTTTTTGTAAGTTTGTGAGAGCTATTTTTTGTTAAATTTGGAGGGATTTCTTTTAGTTATTCATATATTTATTTTTCTAATACAGAAGACTTTATTTCTATCCTTATTTCATTCATTATTTTTGAAACCTGTCATAATAAAACATGTTGAGTAGCCTCTGAAAAGCCTATCTGAATTTGTGTCTTGTAATATAACAATTTTCTATCCATATAGAGGAGGCATTTAAATGTATTGAAATTAATATGGCATCTTTGAGTAAACTTCGAGTATCATTTGAGTTGCTAGGCCGAGTGTCCTGGTTTTTGGTAATCAAAATATGGTTCCTGCACAACCCTTTGAAACTACACTGCATTGGACTTCAACATGTTGGTTACCTTTGAAATATCCATTGTGTGGAGAAAAATCCTGAAATGTTTCCCTCAAAAAACATATTTTTTTTTTGGTAACACTTTACTTGAAGGGGTGTGCATAAGACACCTTCGTAACCATGACATGACATACGTCTTGAATATGAAGTAGGGTTTATGACAACTGTCATTAAGTGTCGTTCGCTCAATAATGCTTTTCTTTGAAGGGATAGTTCACCCTAAAATGAAAATTAGCTCATGATTTACTCACCCTGAAGTCATCCTAGGAGTACTTGACATTCTGCAAAGTTATATTAAAACATTTCCTGGCTTTTCCAAGGTTGATAATGGCAGTGGATGACTTTGGAAGTAAATCAAATTTAGTTTCATCTCCAACATACTACATTTTGGTAGACGGTCAACATTTTCTGAAGGTTGAGTGCTGAAGTGTTTTGGGTCCTATTTTGGACTATATTTGTGGGAAAATGTCTCAATTTAGTGGGGAAAATATGAAAAAAGCTGCTCTCTTTTTTCTTTTTAAGTTGTCAATCACTTTTACCAAAAACGTTCCTAATTAACAGTTAGAAACTTTGTTGATTTTGATCCTGCTAAACATTTTTTCCCCATAAAAGCGGATGGTAAATATTAGGGCTGGGTATTGAGACAAATTTCACAATTCGATTCGATTTCGATTCACAAGCTAGCAATTCGATTTGATTTAATATCGATTATTTTGGATATCAGTTACAATAAATGCCAATTTTTCTCAAGAGAATCAAATCTCTTAAATGCTGTAAACTATGGGGGTCTAGTTGTAGCCTATAGGCTTCATTAGCCTAATATGAAGGTAATAATGAACTGTTTTGTAGCTATACAAACACTTAAATTACACTTTTATTTATTTTTATAATAAGAAGATTATATGAAATATAAACATTGAAATGGTGGCTGTCATAAAAACTTGCCAGATTTATTCAAATATGCATTAAATATTGAAGAACATTAAGATTATAATGCATATATAATATGGTGTATATATTTAGCGAAATGCTCCTCTCTAGAGTTATTTTTTCTAGCTGACTAACGAGTTTATGTGGGTTTTCTGAGGTAAATATGACGAAACATTACATTGATTACAAGCTGTTTAACTGACGTCTTTCCACGGTTGAAACGCTGATTGAGCGAAATCCATGTGACATGATACGGATTTCGATAAGTTGTACTCTATCTTTAACACACTTTCAGATGCTCCTTCATGTTTATTTGGCGCTGTGACTGGTATTATTAAGCCGGAAGAGAGATCAGCGCCGCTGCTTCTCCAGAGCGATCTCACGACACAGCGCCAAAACGTCATTTATGTTTTTGAATTTAAAAAGAAAATGGACGTAATTTGAAAATTGAGACTTTGTTTCATATCAATAGTAACAAAGGACAAAGATTATTGCGATGTTTTGGATGCGCGCAGCCGCGAGACGATGTCCCATTCATTCAAATGAAACAGGATGGCTAATCGATTCTTGAGATTTAAGAATCGATATCGGTTCGTAAAAATGAGAATCGATTGAAATCGCTATTTATTACCCAGCCCTACTAAATATGTATAAACATCTTGACATTAATTGCTGATCATAAATTATTTTTCTTTTATTATTTTCTTTCACTAATGAAGCGAGGGCTGTAACTCCAGTGGCAATAAAACCGATGACATTTTCATGAAAGATGAATTGTGACCCGTGCCGGCAAAATGAGTGGGAATGCACACGGGATGATGTCGAGCTACAGGCAAAACAAGTGAAATATGTCAATGTTGGTCGAATTTGAGGATTATCAAAGATGAGTTCATTAAGCCCTCGTCTAGCGATCCCAATGCTCCAAATGGCAATTAAACATCTAAAATGATGTTTATTTGCATGTTTTCCATGGGGAGGTCTTTCCTTTGTTTTAACAATCCATGAAAAATGTTTTTCTCTGCACACGTTTGGTGTCCTTGTACTTTGTGAATCTTCTCAGTGAATTCTCGATGGCATGAGTCTGAATCAGTGAAATGTGATTTCAAACCCAAGCTAATATGTAAATAATAACTAATGTGTAGGGTTAGGACTACATTTAGGGACAGGAATGTTGTTCCAGGATCAATAAAATATGTTGCACTTGGCAAAATCATGGTGACCTGGTGATATCTGTGATATCACGTCAGTAATGTCAAATTTTCAAGATTTTAACTCAATATTTCATCAATATATGCCTGTTTTGTAATGGATATGGTCGTGAGAGCGCTCAGTCGGTCTGCGGATCTTGTCGGAGGAATTGACATGGGACATTTTGCTCAACTTATTAATGACTACTTCAGTGATAATGTGCCACCACCAAAACAAGATGATTGGACATTAATGTTGCACAATGGGTGGGCATGGACACAATCTGAAACTGCCATGACTGTATTAAAAAGGCAGCTGTTTTGATGATCACTATTAATCTGGCCATTTTTTTTAATAAACTTGTTGATGAGATGCTCAATTTGGTATTTATTGTTATTATTTATATTTTGTTGCATAATTTTTCTACATGGGTGACACGCTTCTCAATCTGACTGCTTGGATAACAACGTTAAATATTCTTCACATAATTATTTTGGTAACACTTTATTTTGCAGTGTCCTTGTTGCATATGTTACGTGTACTTACCATAGTATGCATAATTACATGCAACTAACCCTCAATCAAATCCTTATCCCACCCTATAGTAAGTACATGTAGTTGCTTAATATTACTCAGTACTTAAATATATAATTACACTGTTACAATGACACCTTAAAATAAAGTTTAACCATTATTTTCACATTATATGGTGTTATTATAAGTGATTTTAAGGTATGTTTGCTAGGATATTTGCTGTCTCTATCGATTTCAAATTTTTTTTGTCAGATTCTAACAAATATACATAAATGGAGAATGTGAATTAATTTGTGAAAATCTGCTCATTCTGACTCCTTTTGCCAGCACGGGTCACAATTTTCTAAGATGGTGTTTTAGATACTAATGATGCATTAAAGTCTCATCTTCCTCTGCTCTTGTTCTCTGTAAACACTCTTTCACGATTTGTGATGTCAAAACACTAGTTTTTAAGATTGGTAACACCTATGATCAGTCCCCCATTGGGTGTAGCAGTACTTTTGTCATCCTTACAGATCTTATACACGCGTGTGAGTGTGCTAAAAGGTGAAAAGGGTTGCCTACACTAACTTTTCATCCTCTTTATTGTTGTCTTTCAGATCCATATGACCATGTGATACCTGTAGAAGACCTAAAAGAGGAGACTGAAACATACCAGAAAATGGGACCAAGTAAGAGTGCTCCAAATCTCTGTGACGTGACATGTCGGCCATTTTGATGCCGTGTCAGTACCATAACCGATATTATGAGCTCAACCCCGGAGTAATGACCAAAATACACTGCAAAAATCTGAAAACATGATCAAAGTTTCCTCATTGTTGCTTAAATGTATACAATGTTAAATTATTGTTGGTTTAACTTAGTTAATCTTGATGAACCTTTAAATTGCAGTTTGTTTGACATGGATTTTTTTTTTTTACAGTGTAGAATCATGCAAATTAATTATCATATACCGTTTAAGCTTGTGTCCATATAACCAGGATTGGGTCAAACTGCTCCACCTTTTTGTGCATATCAACGTTGCTATTTTTAAAGTGTTTGCAAAATAAATTGTTAGTTAGTAGCCAAATGTTGGAAACATGAGTGAAACGGCTTCTGAAACAAGAAAAAATGAAGGGCGGGGCTTAATTTTGTCTGTTGGGAATTGATTGGATGGTTGTGGTTTGCTATTAGCTGATCTCATGTGAGTGACAGGTTGCCCCGCCCCCTCGTCGTCATAGAAGATAAGAGATGCTGCAAGAGGAAGTTATTCTGATGCAAGATTACGAGGCACATAAAAAAAATAAAAAATAATAATGATGTGCACAGATAAATCATTAGATACGCAATATTCCCTAAAAATAAGAATTGTCAATTATGATTTCTTGGGGACTTTAACGGATAAGATGCTGAATGATGAAGTGACTGATCTGTCTGGTTTACGTATTAAATCCCAGTTCCCTGAAAGAAGTAATGATATGCTGCAGAATGATTCGAGTAGCTCCTTCATCTGAAAATCTGATGAACATGATACTGATCCCTCAGTTATATGCGCATATGGGCACAATCAGCCATTACATTGCTGTTTTTTTTATTTTTTATTTGCCATTAAATTGCTGTGGTTTTATAGAGTGTATGCACGTGACGTCACCGTCGGCCTGCAGTTCCTCACAGTGAGTGCCAAAAAGACTGAGTGGCTGTATTTGTTTTCAGCTTGAATGCCACGAAAAATAAACACAACACATATAAAGTGGGGAAGAGCTTTGCGATTGACTGTACAACTAAATTTGACAAAAAATCGGAGGTATACTCCAGTCAGCGAAAGCTGGATTTGCAGTTACCATTTTGTGTCAATATGCTGAATTTAGCTGTAAAAACCATACCCATAGGCCTATATTTTGTATTGTTTTATATATTAACAACTCATCAATTAAATATTTATCATTGCATATTCTGCATTATTGGATGTTTTTTAATAAACACTGACCAAAAAAAAAAAAAAAAACTATAAAAGGGCTGGACAATATGATGCTAACACTGATATAAGTCATCATTCGGATTTAGACCTACCTATATTATATTTATATAAAGCGTTCACAGGCAAATTTGCTTTATTTTTAGGTCTATATTGCTTTTATTTCCCTGGTGTGGAAATCAGGCAAACATAAATGTCAGGCAACACGATTCCTGGCTGCATGTCTATATCCATGGATCACGGGATCTTTAGTAAGTTGTAACACTATATTGAGCCCAACATTTAGTTTAAATTGATCAAATTGTTCGTTTTAGTCGCATTTTCGCAGTTTCCCCTATTAAATCCAGTCACGCAGCAGATCTTTTGCCACTCAGTCAGACTGAGGGGGGTTGTTCCGGTGGGAAAGTGACGTCAATGCATTCCCTATATTCGTGTTGACTGAAGTCATCACTCCTGGGTGGAGTTTCCACCGCATCGGTTTCTTCATACAGGGAACCGGGTTATATTTAAAACACAGACCTTCTAATTGTGATTTAATTTCCGAAGTGAATAAATAATAAATATATATATATATATATATATATATATATACTGTATATTTATTTATTTATTTATTAAATATATAATAATAAAGAAAGAAAGAAAGAAAGAAAGAAAGAAAGAAAGAAAGAAAGTGATAAAATAGGCTGCAATCAAAAAATGTAATGTAGGATTATGGTTGTGAAATTGCAGCTTAAAGCAGTGGCTCTCAACCTTTTTGACTCCAAGGCCCCACATCGTCCACAACGATATTTGAAGGCCCGACACGGCTAGTTTCTGTAAATCTAATTCCATGATTTCAGAAGTGTTCAGAGCTGAATGCTTTTCAATGTTCACACTCTCTTTAATCAATGAATGCGATTTATGGATAATAATTTTCAAAATATGTTGTACTCACAATTTCTATACCCGATAAAATATTTTAGAGCTTGGCATAAACACAAAACTGTATATTAAATATAAAAATGCCCATGAAGTTTTAAGATTTTATTTATTGCAGGTCTTTTTCAGTTCTACTTGAAATCACACTCTTATAATTAAAGTTTGATGTTGGCTTGACAAAGCCAGGTCTAAAAAGTTGAAAATAATTTTGAAAAGTTTGAAGTTTTAGATAAAGTAATTTTTTTTAATGATTAGCATGTTGTTAGTATGTTTAACATGATTTAGCACATTGCTAGCATGTTTAAACATGTTGTTAACATGATTTAGCACATTGCTAGCATGATTTAACATGTTGTTAACATGATTTAGCACATTGCTAGCATGTTTAAACATGTTGTTAACATGATTTAGCACATTGCTAGCATGATTTAACATGTTGTTAACATGATTTGCACATTGCTAGCATGATTTAACATGTTGTTAACATGATTTTGCACATTGCTAGCACGATTTAACATGTTGTTAACATGATTTAGCACATTGCTAGCATGTTTTAACATGTTGTTAACATGATTTAGCAAATTGCTAGCATGTTTTAACATGTTGTTAACATGATTTTGCCCATTGCTAGCATGTTTTAACATGTTGTTAACATGATTTTGCACATTGCTAGCACGATTTAACATGTTGATAACATGATTTAGCACATTGCTAGCATGTTTTAACATGTTGTTAACATGATTTTGCACATTGCTAGCATGATTTAGCACACTGTGAGCATGTTTTAACATGTTGCTAGAATGAATTAGCATGTTTCTAACACGTTGCTTAGCATGTTACTTGCATACATGTGCATGTTAGAATGAATCAGGTGATTAGCATATTGCTAGCCTGATTTAGCACATTGCTAGCATGAATTTTATTAAATGCATGTCTTTTCCAGGTCATTAAAAAACACACTCTTGAAACTAGATGAGTAACGTTTGAGGACAAACTGTGATGTTGGCTTGACAGCCTGGCCTGAAAGTTTAAAATAACTTTTGAACAGCTTGAAGTCTGAAGGTTTTTTTTTATTTTATAAAAATATTAAAAAAACAAACAAACAAAAACATGATTTGCTAGCATGATTTAACACGTTGTTAACATGTTTTAAAACGTTGATAACATGTTTTAGCATGTTGTTAACATGATGAGCATCTTAACATGATTAATATTTTTTTTGATAACATGATTAACAGGTTGTTAACATGAGTAGCATTTTGTTGGATTGCTAGCATTATTTAACATGTTGCTCTTGTTAACATGATTTAAACATTTGTTAGCATGTCTTAACACATTTGAACATGGTACAATATTAGCATGTCGCTAGCATGTTTTAACACGTTGATAAGTTTTATCGCGTTGTTAACATCAGCAGGTAACATGATTAGCATGTTGCTAGAATTATTTTTTAAAATTATTAGCGTGATTTAGCACATTGCTAGCATTATGTAACAAATTGATAACGTGATTTTGCACATTGCTAGCATGTTTTAACATTGATAGCATGATTCAGCATGTTTCTAACATGAATTAGCATGTTCTAACATGTTGCTAAAGTAATTGTAATTTTGTTGACATGATTTAAACCTTTGCTAGCATGTCTTAACACATTGTTAGCACATTTGAACATGTGACGATTATTAGCATGTTGTTTGCATGTTTTAACACGTTGATAAGTTTTATCATGTTGTTAACATGATTAAAGGAGCATGTTTTAACATTGATGGTATGATTTAGCACATTGCTAGCATAATATATTGATAGCATGATTTAGCACGCATTGCTAGCATGTTGTTAGCATGAATTAGCATGTTGTTGATGATAAGATACTCTTTAAATTTGAGCTCAGAAGAAGCTTAAATATTAGAATAATATGTTGGCTTTGTCAAACCAACATAATCAGGCTACCGCACAAACCTGGTTATTCAAATAAACTTGTTTTTGTTGTTTTAGCTCGTTTTAAGCTTTGTTTTTGATGATTTGTTGAGGTCTGCCTGGTTGAGAACCACTGACTTAAAGGACCAAAAAATAATATTTATATTCTCACCCTCATGTCATTGCAAAGCTGAATACAGTTTTATTTGTTATTTGAATCCGATTTTGTTTTTTCTCCAATGGGTTCCAATGTAGATTTGGACCCTATTGACTTTCATAGTATGGACAAACACATTCTTCTTCAGAAAGTAAGTCATGCATACGTTTGGATTGACATGAGGGTGAGTAAATGATGGTTTAAGTGGAAAGTTTGTGGTAAAGCGTCTTTGGCTAATCACTGATGCATGTTTAACTAATGACTGTATTTTGTGTCTTGAAGAAACCGGAAGTTACACGTGTGAGTATTGTGGGAAACAGTACAAATACTTCAACCCCTATCAGGAGCATGTGGCTCTTCACGCTCCAATGAGTAAGTGCTCACTTCACTTCAGTGTTTTGTGGTGTTTATCTGCGAATGGATGAAATAGAGCAATAGATGTGTCTAATCTATAAGGTCTACACAGCTTTAATCATTAGATATGGAGATTGTGCAAGCTTGTTCATGAAACGTAATAACCAAGACCATAATTCCTGTTTCCTGTCTGCAATGAACCTTAAATTGTGACTGCACTCGCTCTCCTATTATCTTCGTCCTTCGTCTCTCCTCTCATTTTTCTCTCAGTCCTGCATTGAGGAGATGCTGCAGAGTTTGACATTGAAAGCTATTTAAAGTGTGCTGAAAATATAGAAATGGGTCAGAGAGACTGTAGTGATGCAACCAGAATTAAATTTCGATTTGTTTCAAATTTTGAAAGAGTCATGGTTTTGCAGGGAGATGCGATTTGTTGATTTGTAAATGTTCTTCTTACTTGATAAATGCCTGTGATTTATTGTCAATGATTAATCTTATGCATAGGAAACATTTCAGACTCTCTATTATTGGCGTAGTCGTTGCCAGGGATGTATAAATAGCATTTATCAAATAAGTTTCCACTTGTTTGACACTTTCCATGAATAAGGTACCATTTTTTTTTTTAGGCTGAAGTAAACAATGATTTTAAACCATTTAGAAGCATTTTGATTTTAATCCAAGTTGAGCAATCGTTATAAAATTATATAAGCTTTAATAGATGTACGTTTTAATGACAAGATTTCTTAACTCATGATTAAGTTGCTATAGCTCGTTTCCGCCACAGAATAAAACCCATCTCATTCTGATATAAAGTCAGAATTGAGATGTAAACATGCAATTGTGAGTTGTAAAGTCCAATTTTTGAGATTAAAAAGTCCCAATTACCTTTTTTAAAAATTTTTTTTTATATATAAATCATGTGCTGTCAAACAATAGCATTTTTTTCTAAACTGCCAAAATAATTCTCAATTATCATTCCCATTTTCAGTAAAAACATCTGGATATCCTAACATTTACCTCTGAACAAAAATTGCATACATTTAATATTTTATACTTAATGAACTCGTGTGAACATATTTGGTTTTTTAATGATTTTCTCCACTTTGAAGCCAAAATATGTCATATTTTGATTCGTGAATGAGTTTTGGTGTGTGTGTGTATATATGCATGCATATGTGTGTATATATATATATATATATATATGTGTATATATATATATATATACACATATGCATGCATATATACACAATTGATGTATTTGACACATGCATATACACACAATTGATAATTGATGTATATGTATGTTTATGTGTGTGTGTGTGTATATGTATATGTGTGTGTGTATATATATATATATATATATATATATATCAGTGGAAGACCGCTAACGTTAACATTAATGAACTTGGAAACCACAATATACTTTTTCTGCCTAAATAAAGTAATGATTACTGTATTTATAACTAGCATATCTCTAGTTACAGTCCCTGCATTGTAAAATGTAATTTAGACTTGCGAGGAGTATCTTGTGCAGAAAAGTTAGCTTTTCTTTTACACGTGTGAAATCCAACAATATTTAATAATAATAAAAAAAATATCGGCCGATATATCGGAATATCGGATTTTAAAACCCCAAAATATTTGTATCGGTATCAGCCTTTAAAATCCTTTATCGGTCGGGCTGTATGACGTATATGTATTACTTAATCTGCTTTTGATTTTTGCACTGCAGAAGGAACTTTTGGCCTTAAAATGGAAGGGAAAATGTCAAGCCAGTCCGGCCAGTCCAGTCGCGCCGACATCAACAACTCCCAGAACTCCAGTGGTGAGTGACATTGAAATCTCTGAAATCTTTCACCTTTGATATTTGAGTCTCGTAAAGTGTTTGCACTTTGCTCAGAGTGATATTTTACTGTCATAATGTGCAGGTGTGCAGTGTCTCTCTCCACAATCACACAGTTTCCCCTTTAAATTAAGCAATCTTCATGCATTTTACTTGGAAATTAGTTTGATCCTCGGATTCACTATAATGTCTCTTAAAGGGCACATAATATTCAACACTTTTTCTTTTTCTCATGTTTGTCAAGGTTGATTGCTTCAAAACAGTCAAATTACATTTTCAAAGTACATTTTCCAAGATTTAACAGGCTACATTTCAATTATTGTCATGATTGGGTAAAATTTTTCACTTGTGAATTGTGTAACATCATTTGCTTACCGGTTGTGGGTTTGCTGCGCCGTCCAATATAATGTGACTAAATCAGACTAAAAGATCAGAAGACGGCACACCATTTGACAGACTTGTCTAATATTACATCTCTACAAAGTAGAAAATGAAATTATATAAACATGAGCTTCAACTATTCAAATACGAGTGTCAAAGAAAATGGGTTTGATCAAAGCTGGGAAAGTAGAGAATAATGTACACCAACACTTAATATCCTGCCCTGTTTTCATTGTTTATTGAGCATTTAGACAAAATCAACAACAAAAAAAATGCATATTTAATGCATCATGCTTTTATGACTCGTATTGTGTCATATAGTGAGAATATGCAACTCAAACGCAAGAAAAAAACACCCTGAATTTATTTAGTCTCAAACTGTGTGCAATTTTGTGCAGTTTCTGATGTTTGTAATATAAAGCAGTGAAATCTTCATAACAGTATGGCTGATACTTGTATTAACATTTTAAAACATAACTCAATGCAATACAAGGATTGAGAGATGAACAATGAGACTGAGATTTTCTAAAAACAAATGTAATGTTACTACATATCGAAACGTTTTTCTGATTGCATTTGCTTTATAAAGATAAGTGAAGATTTCACAGCAAAAAGACATGAACCACGAGCTGAATTTAGACGTTTTTATAATTATAATTACACTGCACTTTAACTTGCTAAGGTATGATTTATCAATCAAACAGAACATGTTGTAGATTACTACACTGTAAAAAAATATTTTCAAGATTTGTTATCACAACATATTTTCTTTTGTCAAATCAACTTTATTTAGTTGAGATAACTTATTATTTTTGAGTTTCTGATGATTAAATTAATCTCCTTCGTTGTATTAACTCACTTTTTCCAGTTCAATCAATTTAAAATTAAGGCAACCAGGTTACTTTTTTTTTTTTTAAAGTTAAACCAACAATATTTTTTTACAGTGCAGTTATCACAACATTTTTTTCTTTTGTCAAATCAACTTAAATAATTTATTTAGTTCAGATAACATATAATTTTGAGTTTCTGATGATTTAAATTAATCTCCTTCATTGTATTAACTCACTTTTTCCAGTTCAATCAACTTAAAATTTTAAGGCAACCAGATTACTTACTGTTTTAAGTTAAACCAACAATATTTTTGATAATTTAGATTCCTTAGAGATTTGATCAAATGATACTGGAGGCTTAATGTCCGACTTAAGTGTCCTGTTAATTTTGGGCCATGGTACACTGTAAAAATGAATATGCTTTATCTAATCAAAAAAATTGTGGCAACAAATTAATTCCTTAAAAGTTAACCATTAAAAAATTAGTAAAACTTGCAACAACCAAAAAAAAAAAACCATAAATTGAAGTCGCCATTATGGTGATCGGTGTTTGTTTTAAAATGACGGTTTCCGTGATTCTGCTCGTTAACATCAGGCGTCTTCAATGTCGGCAATATAAAATAAAGAGTTCTTAATTAATCTTTGACGTCTGTCTGTTAGTGAGATATTTTTGGGTGTAAACTTTACTCAGTTTAAATGGTTAACTTTTAACCTCAATTCTAATTTGTTAAATTTAATTAATAATATTGCTTGTAATCTGTTTCCACAATTCGATTGATTAGATAAAGCATATTCATTTTTACAGTGTATTATTGAACTCAGTCCCAGTGTTGCACTTTGAAAAAAAAAAAAAAAAAACATGAATTATTTGTCTTCCAGATACTCCAAACAGCCGGACCTATGCTTCCCTCCCCAGCCCTCAGAGTATGTATTGTGGAAATCAGTTTTACCTTCTTCACTTGATTCACTCATTTCATGCTCCATACAGTCCATTTTTTGGTTTTTGTAAATCATGACTGACCTCACTCATGCCCATTTGCATGGCTTTCAAAACTTGCAGGTTTCTTAACCTTGACGTAAAAACCTTTTTCCTGAATGCCTGATGCTGACCTAAATTTGTTAGCTGTATGTAGTGAGGCTCTGTTATGAGAACATTTCTGTGTTCTGAGAGAAACTGGACGTTTCGTTCCAGAAACCTACACGTGTGGAGCCTGTGGAATTCAGTTCCAGTTCTACAACAACCTCCTGGAGCACATGCAGTCCCATGCTGGTGAGTGAGCCCAGAAAATGAAAACCATTTTCAGCTTTGAGCTCATCCAAATTTGGACTCGCTCTGTTTTGTTGCCGTTATTTCTTTGCATCACCACTTGGGTCTCGGTTCAATGCAAAGGGCACAATTTTACAGACAGTATAATGTGTGCACTGCATATTGAGTTTGTTTGCATCATGTGCTTTTTACATCTGTCAAAGGAGTAGTTCACTTTTAAAAAGTCACCCCCCATGTCATCCAAGATGTCCATGTCTTTCTTTCTTAAGTCGAAAAGAAATTAAAGTTTTTGATGAAAACATTCGAGGATATAATGGACTTCAATGGGGTCCAAACGGTTCAAGGTCCAAATGAGAGTTTCAGTGCAGCTTTAAACGACACCAGACGATGAATAAGGGTCTTATCTAGGGAAACGATCCGTCATTTCAAAAATAAATAACAAAGTTTAAGTTTTATAAGCTCAAATGGTCGCCTTGCTCTGTTCTGTGATGAGCATTCGTGACTCTCCTGTTCGAACTCGTTCATCAAAATGAACGAATCTTTTTTCGAGTCATTTGGTTCATTCAACGAACTAAATGAACTAAATGACTCGAAAAAAGATTTGTTCATTTTGATGAACGAGTTTCGCTAGATAAGACCCTTATTCATCGTCTGATGTCCTTTGAACCTTTGGACCTTGAAGCGTTTGGTTCCCATTGAAGTCCATTATATGGAGAAAAAATCCTGGAATGTTTTCATCAAAAACCTTCATTTCTTTTCGACTGAAGAAAGAAAGACATGGACATCTTGGATGACATGGGGCTGAGTAAATTATCAGAAAACTACTCCTTTAACTATCTTCACATCAGATATTCATAGACATGCATGAACTCCATAAAAACTCCACTTTTGTTTTTCTCGTGTCATTTGTTCAAGCGCACACTCCCGACATTGCCATTTTGTTTAACACTGTCATCACAAAATATTTCACCCAAATCAAATTCATCATTTAAACACTGTTGTGTCATACCAAACTTCTATGATGTTTTCTTCAGCGGAACACAGAGGATATATTATCATATATATTAAAGAATGTTTCAGCTGTTTTTGTTATTATGAAAGTCAATGGATCCCTAAAATGTTCAAGCTTTCAAGCCAAACAGACATGTATGCCTCAATTTATAAATCAAAGCACAAACGTACACGTACACCAACAAATATGGCAACCTCAAATCTCAGCTGTTGTATGCATGCATTGATCAAATATTTGATTTGGGAGTGAATAAAAGCTTACATTTCTGTTTCTGTTAAAGTGATTGTCACGTCAGAAGACTGTGGATCAATTTCACACTACCTTTACTTTGATTTCGGAGATGAACGTTCAGTCAGATTGACTTATAATATGGACAAAACAGCTGAAACAATTTTCAAAATATCTTCTTTTGTGTTCAACAGAAGAAAAGAAAAGAATAAGTTTGGAACGACACGAGGGTGAGTAAATGATGACAACATTTTCATTTCTAGGTGAAAATTGTGTTTCCAGGCCAGGAAAAGTCATGAAAATGTCAAATTAATTTGTTTCAAACAAAAATCTATGGAAAATCTATACATCTATGAAATATGTTGGTTAATTTTATAATACATAGGTCAAATATGCAGATTTTCTGTCAAAATCAGCTCTATTCTTTGTGGACCTTGATCAATTAATCATAATTTCTGAGTTGTTTTCACCTCAGTGTATTTCTCTTGTTGGTTTTCATTGAATACCCTCACTTTTTCCAAGAATGAGTACATAGCGAGTTGTCTTTATTCCCTTTAGCTGATAATGAGAACCATGTTAAAGATGATTCTCCGAAGCCTTCCCAAGCGCCTGTGGCCACACAGGAGCAGATGTGGAAATCTCCTCCTCAGCCGGCACAACAGAGGAACCACGTACCACCGTCTTTTCGTGAGTTATTTCCTACCACCACTACCAGAATCAGGAAAATGTTTCAGTGAAAAGTGTTGATGTTAAAATTTGTTTGTAAAAGGTGCAGTAAGCTATTTCTGAGAAACGTTGTGGAAAGTGGATCAGACCAAGCACTAAAATTAATTTAATAGACAACATGTCGAATTTGTAAGGTAAAACTATCATATTGAGCACGGACTAACAACCTTTGGGGTCTAAATGTGTTTGATTTTATTTTCAGTAGAATAGTTCAATATAAATACAATGTTCAAGCAAATCACACTTAAAACCATTCCAGTACCAGTATAATAACGCCCCCATTCAGCAAATGCATTTCCATCTTCCATTATTCACGTTAACTCTTTTTCGCACAAGTCAAAAACCACCTCAAACGAGCGTAAAAACTTATTTTTTATTAAAAAAAAGATTTAAAAAAGGGGATGGAAACATAGCTATTGTCTGTCTGGAGCGGCTAATACGGAATTGCTTGTATAAACTTGTACTAGTACATAGGGTTGGGTATCGTTTGAATTTGAACGATTCTGATTCCGATTCCTTGTTTCGATTCCGGTTCCTAACGATTCTCGATTTCGATTCTTTTAAGAGGCAGGGTCAAAAAAGTAAGGAAATGCGGAAATTCTGAAGGAAATACTCCTTCTGTCACAAATACTTGTCACAAATTTTGCATTTTCCCGAGATTTCGAAAAGTGAAGCCACACTTTGGACCGCCGACGTAAGCTACTCATGTTCGACTCGCGTGGTTATGCCAACACCTCCGGTAGACGCTTCTTCGTTGGTGTTGTTCAGCGGTTTCTTCTTCCACTCGGCGGACTGTGAATATCGAAACTAGGAATTGAAATTTTAACTTTTGAACGATTCCGGGAAAAAACGAAAAGTTAGTCCCGGTTCCAATCGATACTCGATTCTCGATACCCAACCCTACTAGTACACTATACTTAAATGTTTGCTTTGCTTCAGCTATTATAAAGAGACGTCCAATCTTGCATTGTGTGTTTGTGCATTTGGGGGGAGGGGTGTGTTTGTTTGGGTTTGTATCAAATATCAACAGTGTTTCTCAGAAATTGCTCATTGCAACTTTAATGTAGGTGTCCTTATGGATTTTCGACATGTTTATTTAAAAATCTGAGGTGATTAATCCACAACACACACTTTTCAAGATTTATCTACATATTTATAAAATGCCATACATATCCTTCCTAGGTATCTTGTGTTACTCTTGTATGTGCCCCAGCATAATTTTACTGTACTTTTGTTTTCAAATGACGGATTGCAACTGTTGCTGTTATGTATGGATGACCTTATGGTCACTTAAAGGGTTAGTTCACCCAAAAATGAAAATTCTGTCAGTATTTACTCACCCTCATGTTGTTCCAACCCCGTAAGACCTTCGTTCATCTTCGGAACACAAATTAAGATATTTAAGATATTAAGATCGCTCCTGCATACTAGTCCATAGGCTTCTTGAGGGAATGACTTGCTGTCCTCAAAGTCATTAAAGACATCATTAAAATAGTCCAAGTGACTACAGTGGCTCAATCTTAAGTTTATCAAACGACGAGAACACTTTTTGTGCGCAAAAAAACAACAAAAATAACGACTTTATTTCAACTATTAGTTTATTTCTCCCTCTGCGCGAGTCAGGTTACTAGTTTAATAGCGTAAGCTTCTGTTATTCTGTTATTGTACGCCAATAGTGAGCCTACGTGTGACGTAGCTTTACGCAATCACACTACGTTAACTGACTACAGGCCCATGGAGAAGGAAGTGAATAGTTAAAATAAAGTCGTTATTTTTGTTTGTTTTGGCGCACAAAAAGTATTCTCGTCGTTTGATAAAGTTAAAATTGAGCCCCTGTAGTCACTTGGACTATTTTAACGATGTCTTTAATGACTTTTCGAGGCCATCAATTGTCATTCCCTCAAGAAGCCTATGGACTAGTATGCAGGAGCGATCTTAATATCTTAATATCTTAATTTATGTTCCGAAGATGAACGAAGGTCTTACGGGGTTGGAACAACATGAGGGTGAGTAAATACTGACAGAATTTTCATTTTTGGGTGAACTAACCCTTTAACTTGTCGAGATAACTTGTCGAGATAACTAACTAATTAAATGGTCTTGTTCTGCTTTTGCAGAGAACAGATTACTCCCAGAAAAGGAGAGACAACAAGTGGCTGAACGTCTACTGAGAGTAATGTGCGTAGACCTTGGCCTTCTTGGCGTACTCAGCAGCAAAGACTTCCTAAAACTTGCACAGACCCTGGTGGACACGGGTTCACGCAATGGGGCATACTCCATCCGCGAAGCCCTGGGAGATATGAGCTCGCTGGCATTAAAACAGCTCCCCCGTATGTACAATCAGGTCAAAGTGAAAGTCACCTGTGCCCTGGGTTCCAACTCGTCCTTGGGCATTGCAGTGACCTGCCATTCTCAGACTATCGGACCAGACTCCTGCTATTTGCTCACAGCGTATCAAGTAGAGGGCGTGCGACTCCGACGCTATGTGCTGGGACTCAAGGAGGCCTCTTTAAGGGAAAGTCCTGAGCAGATACACCACTGGGTCCAGAATGTTCTGTCGGAGTTTGTCATGTCAGAAATCCGTACGGTCTACGTGACCGAGCCGCGCTTGTCTTCGCTGGCCTTTTGCGGTCGCACCGGAGTCGGCCTCCGCTGCGCGGGTTGCTCTCTAACAGCCACGGTTCAGGCTGTCCTCGGTCGTCGCAGCCTGCAAGCACGAGGGCTCCATGAACTCGGTGAGCTCCTGGCCACGTGTCGCGACATCGCTGCAACGACCAGCTTCAGCAATGAAGGGAAAGCTGGGGAAGAGTCTACTGCTCCGCCCTGTTGGGATTCAGTCGCGGAGGCTTTGCTCAAGGTTCACGAGAACTTCGAGGCCACTTGCGAAGCGTACGGCCGTTCCAAGAGCACAGTGCCACTATTGCAAGGCCTGAATAAGCACCTTCTTGGCACGCTCGCGTGTTTGCTCGCGCCGCTAAGGCAGGCGGCGCAGGAGCTGAGTGTGGAACGCTCCCCAACGATCCAACACGTCCTTCCCGTCTACCTCCGTCTTGAAAAACTCTTCACCTCAAAAGCCGGCGAAGTGGGTGCTGGCAGTAAGCTTTGCCACTACTTCCTAGAAGCCCTGAAGGAGAACTTCAAGGTGGAACGGATCCATCAGGTTGCAATGATCCTGGATCCGCAGCTCAAGCTGAGGCCAGTCCCCGCGTACCAGCACGAGGATATTATCTCAAGGGTGTGTGACATGGCTGCTAATATGAGGGAAGCGGGAGCCGCTGGTTCTGGAGGTACGTCTGTGGACGAGCGGGATAGCGAAGGGCCGCCGGCACCCAAGCGTGGCCGCCTGGACTGTGGATTAGAGAGGCCGTCGTGCGACGCTGAAGAGCCACAGGTACGAAAAGAGTTGTTCCAGTACCTCGGCGAGCCACTGTTCGGTGACACGGGAGACCTGCTGCAGTACTGGAGTTCGGTCATGGACAGATACCCCAGGCTGTCGCGGTTAGCGCTGTGGTTGTTGGCTGTACCGGCTGTAGCTGTGCATGGGGAGTGCGTGAGCATCTGCGAGCAGACCTTAGCCATGAAGAAAAAGCAGCAGGTCTCCGCGGAGGAGATGAACAAGCTGGTCTTCCTCAAGAGTAATTTTGCTTGAGACGGCTCAGGGCTTAATGGCACCATAGACTGTTTGTTTGAAACGGAGACTTTTTGAAGCAGATGCACCCCTTCCGAACATCTTGATTTACCGTAAGTGTCCGTAAATGTGGCACATGATAGAGATTTACAAAGGAAAGGTACATTGACAGCTAATTCTCAGTCCATAGCTTGGCCTTGGCGAGGACGACAGAGCAACTCGATGAAAATACAGTCTACCGGTGGACGCGGACGTGAACTCGTGTTTTCGATGTTTCGGTTTAAATTTGTGACGTTTTTAACAGTATGTGGTTCGTCCATCCTTTTCTTTCTGAAATTCAGCTTCAACTTTCCATCTAGAGAAGGAAAAAACGGGGTACTTAGAAAAAGCCATTTTATTTTCGACTACGCCTTTATGAAAACCACAAACACTCTTTGCTGTGACAGCTGAACAATACCTCTCTTTAGCGGTTTATCGGTGGGCAGGTCAAGCTGTAGAGGTGCAAGTCTTGTCTTAGGCAGGCCCTGATTCAATAATCTCAGTTAACCGGTTTGAGTGTGTTAAGCTCTTGTTCAGACTCAGGAGTTTCAGCTCAAATTTATACTTGGGTCACTCTTAAGTAAACTGTTTTGCAATTATTTATTTTAATTCTTTGTCAGTTCTCGCAATAAATGTTACGTAGCAGAAGTTACACTCTCAAGCTGACTTCGATGCCTTGCACCTTTTGTAGCAACCTTTCCCCCCATTACAGCTCACTGGGATCTTTTCCTTCAACAATACAACCTTGCAATACCTGAAACGGCCACTTGAACCCCAAGATTGGATTTCCAATGATATTGGGATATGGAAGTGTATGGGAATGATCTGATGTTGTGTAAAGTTCTGGTCCAGTTATCTTTTTGTTTTCTTTTTCTGAAAAAGTGGGAATAGGGCTATGAAATGCAGAAACTGTCTGTCACTGTCTCAGTATTGACCTCGCTGAACAGAAGCGGCTGATTGCATTATTGTTTGAATGCATTTGAAGAGGATAAAGCTAAACAAGTATTTCATTATTTATGCACTGGATTTCTCTTGTTTTCCTCATTTATCTTCAGCAGGTAATTAGATTAGAGATAACATGAACTACTAGAGAAAACTATGCCTAGATTAGGACCAAAGTATAGTTTGTCATTGTGAATATTTGCCATTTCCAAACAAATTTGTAGTTATCTCATACTGTTTCGCCCACTGCCTTTGAACAACTGTTTATTTCAATATTGTTCTAGTCAACGAACAGAAGTAACAATTTTCACTTCCATGATAAAATAAACGATCTTCAAGAGTATTTTGCAGTAGTTTTTCCAAGGAAAGGTGTGATTTAGTATTATATAGTTTGTCTTGTTAATGCCTTGAACATCTTTATGTGAGTATACAGATATGCATGCAGACAATATAAGAGTTTTTTATCTTTAATAAAGTGGCAGAGAGCTACAGATGTATAGGCTACGTTCACACAACAGCAGAATACAGTTGTCAGTCCTGTTTTGAGTGCTAAATCTGGTTCTCGTTCGTTCACTGATCAGTTATAAAAGAATGAGAAAAGGGAGTCACAACCAAATTGAGAGATCAGTTATGTGTGCTAAATGAACAAAACCGCAGTCGAGTAGTTGCCAATCCCACTGAAATGGGTTTAACGTGAGGTGTGCGTGTGGGTCTACAAGGGGGGACAACAGAACTGAAGAGTTTTTGACCACATGTATGAATCGTTTCAAGTAAATTCAAATGTCTTGAAGATATTTGCATGCCTAAATGGGGACTGACTTCGGTTACCTGTCGTTATGCTCTGCTGTTGTTGGTATTTTGAAAAGTCACACCAAATACGGTTGTTAATCCCAAACACTTGAGGTACGCACCCCAACATTTTGGAATTGACTGAGATAACCATAGCAAACACTCGTTTTAGTCTCATGATTGTGAACAAGAAACATGTATAACAAGAGTTTGAACTATTTGGTGTCCGCTATGTTTGACCAAAGATTGGCGACCAAAGACACACAATATTGTGCAATTTTAACTAAACCACCATTGACAAAGGCGTTTGGTGTGTTCTTAATACTTGCGAAGCTGCTGGTTTTAAATGGCATGCCCTTTTTTAGGTTTATTTTGCCGAAGAGAGAGAGAGACTTGTCAAAATGTGCAAATGAGTCAAAACATGTACCTCTTTACCAAGTTGTTGATTTCCTTTTTTGTACATAGTACCAGTTGGGTTTAATGGGAATGCTGTTGCCAATACCTGATATTTTCCAGTTGTAAAGTGGATTATTACTGTGTTTCAGATGTGACAACTGAAATTTCTTGCTTCTGACCTCAATGTGAACCACAGGACGGTGATGGTGCCATGAACCAACATGAATATTTCATGTTCACATGGCAAAAAAGTCATGAACACTAAATCAGAGGTCTTCAACCCTGTTCTGGGGATCCACTGTCCTGCAGTTTCGCTCCAACCCTAATCAAACAGACCCAGCTAATCAAGCTCTTCAGGATCATTGAAAACCACAAGCGTAAGCAGGTTGGATATAGGCATTGTTTAAGTTAAGGTTCCCCAAACTCGGACTACTGTCCTGCAGAGTTTAGCTCCAACCCTGAGCAAGCTAATCAAGGTCTTCAGGATCAGTAGAAACTCACAGGTAGGTGTGTTTGATCAGGGTTGGAGCTAAACTCTGCAGGGACAGTGGCCTGGTTTAAGTCCACTTTTTTATGCCCTTGCCTCGCTCACTTCCACCGGGGAGGAGCCATCTTGGAAAACAGTCTCGATAAGTCGATCCCGAACGCCGTTCGTACAGTTCAGAAGTTCGCTGCTCACTCAGCACGACGTTCGTGGTTTGACTTGTCATGTTTTCCAAGATGGCTCCTGTCTGAATACATGAAGTGAACTGTCTTCATAAAGTATCTTCTTATTAAACGGTCTGCACACTTACAATGTTCTCAATGCTTCGTTTTGCATGTATGGACCCTCATTATGTTACCGTGTTAGTGTGGGGCTATTTTGAGCCTTGTTAGTGGTATAAACCAGCGATTTCTTTTTACTTAGTAAATGCCCCCATATTCTAGCGTTAAACAATTTTTAGAGATTAAACTCTTTACATTCGATTATCTTGAAAACAAAACTCAAAGAACGGTTGACTAGTTACCGATGTTTTATCAGACCACCAAAGGTTCATTTTGCGCAGGAGTTCTCCTTTAAACATTGGATCTCCGGGAGCAAGGTTGAAGACCTCAGCATTAAATGCTTGGGTTATCTTTAAAAGGACGAGTGGAAACAAACAAAATCAAGGAATCTTTGTATATTGCCTTAGGCTATAACTTAAATGTTTTGCTATGCTCGTTGAAATATCTTTTTAATAAGACAATTAGATAATTGATCTTGGTTGACTGATGTCTGACTTAGCATCATTCCAGTCATTATTTTCAAAGTAGGAGTCTGTCAGTCTGGCTCCAACACAAAGCACTCAACAAAGGAATAACAACCGTATTTAGCCCCAATGTGTTCATAACCATTGTGTGAACGCAGCCGTAGGACCTGAATTGCTTAAAGTTAGCATGAAACAGAATTTGCAATAGTAGTTTCTAACCTACTGTGACTATCCGAGTGAAACGGCTTCTGGAACGCGGTTAAAAAAAGGCCAATAGAGTGCCGAAGGGATGACGTCACTTTGTAGGACAACCCGGAAGCTAGCGGCGCATGGGTTCCCTCGGTCGAAAAGCAATGCATTTCCCCCATAGACTTTTGGAAAATCGCAAAAAATAAGATCTGTGTTTAACAAAGGGTTGTGACCCTTACACGTTTTGTCTAGCAAGATAATCTTTACAAGTTAATCCAAAATGTATACATTTTGAAGTCTATGTAAAGATTTTAAAAACACAATCAGACACAATAAAGTTTAAAAAAAAACACAAGCAGGTTATAACTGTGTGTTCTATGTCAGAGATCAAAACGTGAAAATATTTAGAGGCTCTGTTCACCAGAGACCTTATTTCAGGCGATTTAGCAAAAACCCATTCAAAAATCCCATAGGCTTTAGAGCGAGGGAACCGTAATGCTAAAATGCTAACTCACTTTCACGTTTTGCCTACAGAGTGACGGCACTCTATGGGGAATGGGCTCTATGCACGGCGGTATTTCCGGTGAAGCATTAAGGATGCTCGATAACTTCCGCCGATCGTAGAGTCCAATGCATTACCGAGAATTTATATTGAATTTTATACTCCATGGTTATACTAAAGAAACGTTAGTCACAAAAACAGATAAAACAGACACCCCTCGTTGTGTTTATGCTTCTTTTTAAAATTATATTAGATAAATATAACTATATATAATATTACATCTAAACGTATGTACGTTTCGTTTCAAAGGCGGGAGGACAGTAAATTTTGAAGACTCTGCCATAATCCCGTTTTCCTCGGTTTTCCTCCGCTTTAATCTCCACAACCGGAAATGGACGAGCATCATTGCGTCAAATGCGGAATTTATGCCTGCATATAGCCCATTGATTGGATGGTTTGTGGTTTGCCACTGGTGGATCTCATGTGAGTGATGGGTTGCCCCGCCCTCACGCCAGTAAACACGTTATCAGAGAAGAAATGTCGCTGCAAGGGAGGGGAAGTTACGAGGCACGTGAATTATGACGTGCGCGGATAATTTATATAAAACACTGCAATAGTCCGTTAAAAATATATATATACAATTCATGGTGACTTTAAGAATTTAGTTCATACAAAACGGAGCAGGGATGCATGTTGATCGGACTTGGTATCTCATAAGTAACCCAAAATACAGATGATGATACCGGCTAGCATGTGCAGAGATGGTCATGTAAAAACTATTTTGATAAACCTGGCCCAGAAATATAAACAGCTGCTTTTGAATATTGTCGTCTTTCTCTGTCACCACAAGAGGGCAAACGTGTCTCAGAAATCTGTCTCTGCAAAGAGTCTCAAAACATCTTACCTCTGTTTTCTAATCAAACATTTCAACTATTTTGATAAACTCAGTCTTATGAATATGTCGGGTTCTTCATGAAGGTTATACTTTGTCTTTTTTTCTTTCTGGACGAATGTGTGCATTTCTGGGGAAACATGAAAACTGTTAAAATGCTCTTGAGCAGCAGTCAAGTGTGTGTTGACAAATACTAATCTCTGAAAGTATAAAACACTGTTTAAATCACAACTATTTATGGATGTACAACAACTATTCATTGTTTTTCTGAGTTTTTCTTTTCTTTTCTTCCCATTGTAGTCCAGCCTACATTTGTCTTTGACAGGCATTTTTCTGATTTGGTGTATTGAGTTGTTTCAGCTGTAGGTCTAATTTATACTTTTTTAACAACACTATTTTTCTAAACATGACTGATAGAGTTTTCTCTCCTTATCAACTGTCAGTAGTACACTGCGCTGTTCTCAGAATCTATATCTACTCCTGTAGTATGTGCTGTGTGAATAAAATATTCTCAAACAAGCCAAAAAAAAAAAGAAGTTTAGTCTTTGTTTTAGCATGGTTACTCTTTATATTTCATTAGTTCACCCAAAAAAATGAAAAGTATTCCATAATTTACTCACCCTCAAGCCATGTATATGATTTTCTTCTTTCAGCCGAACACAATCGGAGATATATTAAAATGTGACTCAAATAAAAACACTCAGGTTTCTAGCGTATCCTCGGTTCCCTGAAATGACGGGAACAAGCATTGCGTCAGAGATTATCTCTACATTATATAAAAAATTCCGTTTTCTTAAAATACTCATATGCTCATCAATTTTTGTGAAGTTCTGACTTTTTCCTTTGGGATTTATTGGCTTTTGGCTGTATTTTGCCAGGGACCACATTTTAAATGACCCTGTTGTAGCCAACCAAATGCAAAATTTCTACTTTTTGTCGATAATTATTTATCTAGACAGTCCAGAGAATAGGCCTAGACTGGTTTGGTTCCGATCTGGCGAAAAACCAGGGACTAGTTCGCAAAAGTAGGTTTTGGACAAAATTCGACATAACTTTTTTTTTTTTTTTTTTTTTGGCCCTAAATCCAAATCGGAGTTACGTTGAGGCTAAGTCAAAACGGTCTAGGAGTTATGAGCAATTTAGTACTTTTGGTTGCGGTAGCGCCACCTATGGACCAATCGGGCTCACAATCTGATCTCTCCTCAATTTGAGGCCCTACCATCTGGCTGAGTTTCAAGTCTCTAGGCCTTACGGTTTGGACTGCACTGATGTGTTTTAGGGGATTTTTTTTTCTCTCTAGCAAATACAATAGGTTTTCAGCACTTGAACACCTAATAACAATGATA